GTCATGTGGCTACTTCACAATCTCTGGCTCCAAGACATGCCAGGAATTGCAGAAAATGATATTCAAATCCCTTTATGTCTCTGTCCTACATGTTTACTTGGGCATAAGTTCTAGCAAGCAGAGAGGGGTTTTGTTTCCCAGTTTAAGTGCACATATGCAGCTTATAAAATTACACAGTCTGGCAATTAACAATGTTACTGTGACATCTTCTCGTGATGCCATTGCTAAGACCAGGATTGGCACTTGGCAGCTTGTGCAAAGTTAAATGATGACTCAACGTTTGCTGACTTGAGCTCATCATTGCTATTCTTTAAAGGAAAGAGAGAGAGAGAGAAAGAGAGACTAAAGGGGGGTGGTCAATGCTAGTCCTACTCAGACACAGCTAAATTCAGTGGGTCTGCTCTGAGTATAATTCATTTGGATACAACCCAGAGGTCTGTGTTTTATTCTTATTAAAAAGCAGTTTCCCAACTGATGGAATTAAAACAACCGCTTTACTGATGCCCTATGATTTAAGTTATAATGCTTTGGCAAAAATTTACTGCTGCTGAGCCTGACTTAACTGGAATGATCTCTGGTGCAGATCCTCCACCTATTTGGGCTTTAGTAACCTGCAGTATGTTTGTGGACAAACTGCTATGTTTTTTTAAAGAGAGAGAGAAGGGAAAAATATTTAGCTTTCCAGCTATAGGCAGTTGATTTTATTCAAGATGGACCGCTGCGAACTTTGAGTAATGTAGCATCTGACCTCTTGTTAGAAAAAGCTGACCTTTATAGGGCATAGATTCCCCCAAAATAACTTAAGACTAAGAATGCATAAGCCATGTGGTTGCTTAGCTTGTTTTTGAACTACTCTAAAGAGTCCCCTCTGATGCTATTCTGTCCTGAGCTACCACAGATTCCAGATTTTCCACCTTCAATGGATCCTTTCTGTATCCACTGATATGCCAAGGAAGTTGGATCAGGACAAAGACCCGTCCAGGCCAGCATCCTGTTCTCACAGTGGCCAATCAGATGCCTCAGTGGGAAACCCAAAAACAGATTCTGAGCACAAGAGCAAACTCTTCCCTCCTGTGGTTTCCAGCAACTGCTATTCCGAAGCACTGGCTGCCTCTGACTGTGGAGACAGACCATAGCGATCATGGTTAAAGGTAAAGGGACCCCTGGACCATTAGGCCCAGTCGCGGACAACTCTGGGGATGCGGCGCTCATCTCGCTTTACTGGCCGAGGGAGCTTCCGGGTCATGTGGCCAGCATGACTAAGCCACTTCTGGCAAAACCAGAGCAGCACACGGACACGCCGTTTACCTTCCCGCCGGAGCGGTACCTATTTATCTACTTGCACTTTGACGTGCTTTTGAACTGCTAGGTTGGCAGGAGCAGGGACCGAGCAACGGGAGCTCACCCCGTCGCGGGGATTCAATCATGGTTAGTAGTCATCAATAGCCCTCTCCTCATGAATTTGTCCAATCCTCTTTTAAAACCATCTTGGGTTGGTGGCCATCACTGCCTCCCATTGGAGAGACTTCTATATCTTAACTCTGCGCTGCATGAAGGCTGGAATATAACTTCCAACTGTTGCTCAGCCTTCGATCAGGCCAGCAGGGAGGAGACGCAGAGTTGCATTCCATAAGCAGCATCTCTCAGATCACCAGGCACTGAGCTCTCTTCCCTGAACAGAGGAGAGCCCAGTGGAGACAGCTTGCCCTCAAACCAGCCCTGGTTGAATCCTGTGGTTGGTCTAGCTGTGGCCTCACATACATCTGTGTTCTGGACACCACACTGTACCAGAGTAGCAGCAGCAGCAGAGTCTCTTCCACCAAACCAGACCTTAAATTGCACCAGAAACACTTTTCTTAAAGATAAGCAAGCTGACGTCCGGCTTCTACTCGCTAAGATTCACAACAGAGTTTGGGAAAGATGAGGCACCTCAGACCTGAAAATGTTTGCAGAACTTTACTGTTAACCAACATTTCACACAGTCTCCCTTTCATTCCCAGAGGCGCAAGGCAGGCAGGATTCTGGTTCACCTGCACAGCGCTAGGTGAGAAATAAAGCCAGAAGGTGGGGAATGAGCTACCCAAGGCCTTCCTGCAAGCTGTGTGGAGCTTTTGAGGTCCTGCACCCCATGAACTGCCATTTCAAGTTTTCCCCCAATGCAGAATAATAAGCACTTAGGCAGTGCATTAGGGGTTCAAAGCATTTAGTACCCACCAGCTTGTAATTCTTACAATAACCCAGCACACCCCCTTTTGTGGGTTAAATAGTGAATGTGTGTGTCTCCCAATCATGGCACTGTTAATTAGATGCTGAATGGCAGTATGGTGCAGTGGTTAGAGTATCAGGCTAGGATCTGGGAGACCTGGGTTCAAATCCCCACTGAGCCATGAAGCTCCCTGGGTGACCTTGGGCCAGTCACTGCCTCTCAGCCTAACTTACCTCACAGGGTTGTTGTGGTGATTAAATGACGAGGGGGAGAACTACATATGCCACCTTGAATGAAAACGGTGGGATATAAAGGCAATAAATAGCCATAAAGAATACCACTGCTTTTCCTATGTCCCTCACTGCTTGCTCGGGATCACACACTTCTTGGCTGCGCTGCTGCAGTTGGGTTATTTGCAACATTGCAGGTAAGGAGCAAAGAGCATCCCCAGCCAGGGGAGGAATCAAGACACAGGCTTGTATCCAACACTAGACCTACTCAGAGTAGGCAACTCGAAACCACTGAACATAAACTCAGTCACATCCACTAACTTCAACAGGTCTATTCTGAGTAGGACTAGCATTGGATACAACCCATTATGTCCAGTCCTACGCATGTTTACTCTGAATAAATCACAGCAATCAGTGTAGATTACTCTTCATCAGACGGCAGGGAAGGGAGGCCTCTGGCTCAGGCTGCAATCACACGATAACTTTTACATCACATTCTTTTCCTCAGAGAATTGTGAGCAGAGCTACTATTCCCAGCAACCCTTAGCAAACTACAGTGCCCAGAATTCCTTGCGGCTGCAGTGTGTGCGTGTGCACGTGCTTTAAAGGTATGCAGTGGTAAAAAAAACCGCAGGAGCCCCAACTTAATCTGTTCCGGAAGTCCGTTCTTAAACCAAAACCGTTCTTAAACCGAGGCGTGTTTTCCCTAATGAGGACTCCCGCCACCAGTGCCCTTCCACCGTTCAGGTTCTGTTCTTAGACTGAGGTAAAGTTCGCAAACCGGGACACTACTTCTGGTTTTGTGGAGTTTGTAAGCCAAATCATTCTTAAACCAAGGTACCACTGTACACTGCATCTCCAGGCTAGCCTCTCAAACATGGAAGAGCAAGGCCAGTCCTTGGAGTAACACTTTTCAGACCAGACCTTTAGTCCTTGGACTCACTTCTTACACCACAAGTCAAGCTGTGACCTAATGGAGCGATGTAACCCATCTTTAGAAAGCTGAGGTGTTCATAAACAGGCTTCTTAAACAGGGCCAGGATTTCCGTTTAGGCCACAAAAAAGTTGTGTGTCTGTCAGGAACATCTCTACTTGGCCCTACAGTTGATGTGTTTTTCCTGACGACTGACATAAAAGCCATCTTCACCAGACCAGATTACTAAATACGCTAACCATCTTCCAGTTTGGGGCCATAATTTTCATAGTATGGTGCTGGTGATGTTTCCCCCCCACAAAGGCCGACCCTTTAAAAGGGGCTCTTCCTAGCAACCTGCTCTAGAGTCTGTGACTCTCCCAAAATGGCATTTTTAGGCCATGATGCCAGCAGTGAAGGGAAAAAATGTTCAATGAGTGGCTTCTGAAACCGTGGAGTTTGAGAATTGGGGGTGTAGATGATAATGTGCTGGAAGTCTGACTCAATATAAAACCAGTAGTGTTTGTAGATGTGTGTGTGTGTGATTTTTTCTTGTTTGTTTTTCTTTTGTGTTTTTTTCTTTCTTGTTTGTATAGTTTTATTTTGGACTCGATGTTTGTAATTTTTTGTTGTAATTTTGCATTGGGGGGAAACAACAACCAGTAGTGCTTAAGAGTGCTGGACTAGGCCCTGGGACCATGGGTTCAAATCCTCACTCAACCATGAAGCTCACTGGGTGACCGTGAGCCAGTAGCTGCCTCTCAACCTGACCTACTTCACAAGGTTGTTGTGATGAGGCAAACGATGCACTCTGCCTTGAGCTTCTTGGAAGCAAGAAGGTGGTACATAAACACCATATATATATACATATATATATAGTGTATATATATTGTCTTTATATATCACCTTGCCCTCAAAAACCATTTAAACCATGAACAGGTTTAGAAATGGGAACTGAAAGCACAGCAAATGTTGAGCAAAACACACAGATGACCACATGCTACTCAGACATTTAAATTTCCCAATACGCTGCATGAACTGTAAACAGAGAAGCTCCTGGGGTGGTGGAAATAAGGAAAAAATCAGGTCACTTTTGCATGCACATATACAGTGTGTGTGTGTGTGTGTGTGTGTGTGTGTGTGTGTGTGTGTGTGTGTGTGTGTGTGTGTAATCATCAAGTTTTCCTCGAGGCCTTGACACAAGTTTGGCGAGAGCAGCAGCTTCCAAGGGGCTCGGCGTTTGTCACATTGCACAGCAGCTCCGCCAAACCAAAGGCACGCCTGTTTGCACGGCCTTCCCCCATCCCCGGGGACACCGATCTCGGAAGCTGCTGGACGCACGATGAAGGCTACAGCATCCCTTATCCTACGCACGTTATTTTTAAACTTATTTATAAGCATTCCCGAGGGGAGAAGCGGGCAGGAAGGAAGGACCCCCGGCCCTCCTCGTTACAAAACAACTCCTCAGCATTGCAACAATAGGAAGCAAGAGCAGCGCCCCCTCCGCGAGGAGGCAGCTCTCCCCTCCCCACGCGTCACCGCTGCACCCCCCGAGGCTACTCGTGCAAGCTTAGCAAGCGGCGCCGTGCGCGGCCGGGATCCTATGCCGAAGCGCGTCCCACCCACTGCCGCCGCCCGCCAGCCCGCTCACCTTCCCCTCCGAGTCCTGCTGCTGCCCGTCGGCATCCCGGCCCAGCCTCTGCCGGAGCTCGCTCATCTTGCACTCCCCTTGCGGCTCCTCCACCCTCGCCTTCCGCTCCGCTTTGCACCGCGAAGTGAAGCAGCAGCAACAGCAACAGCAGCAGCGAGCGCAGCGCGAGCCGCCCAGCGAGATGGCCGGGCCCGGGGATTGAGGCGGGGCCAAGGCGGCCGGGCCAATAGGAAGCTCCCGTTCGCTCTTCTACGCATAGATCTTTCAATTTTATAAAAAAAAAACTAAAAGGGTAGAGGGGCGACTCTATTATAGGGAGGTGCAACTTGCTGGTTTCTTCAGACGCTGTTTCGTTTCTGTCTCCCAGGGTGCACCTTTGGGAATGAAGTCAACCCGCTGGGAAGTTGCAGCGCCTGCTGTGGTTGTAGAAACCGATATGGGAGAGACATGTTTGGTTGCAGCTGGGGCAGATGAAGGCATCGGGCTGTGCTGCTGCAGATGCTCTGTGCAGTCTCCTCCCAACAGTCATTCATTCACTGGTCCCTGCTGTGAAGTGGATACATGACCAGTCTATCTCCAGGCACTGCGGTCATCTGCAAGGGATTCCCACATGGTGGGGCTGATGTCGCCAGCCTTCACGTCAGTTATGCAGACATCTCTAATGCAGAGTTGGTCTGCCAACTGGCCTGGTACCCGAAGCCAGCTCCCTGTAGAGTGCAAGCATGCTGGCAATGTGGGCTTGGGAGAGCATATCTTTGAGAGATGTAATGCCCAAAATCTTCCTGAAGCAGCATGCACTGAGGTGTTGCTTCTGGCGGGTGTCTGGGGCTGATGGAAGTTATAGTCCAGAAACATCTGGAGGGTTAGGTTGTGCACCCCTGGGTGTTGGACTGTGACCTGGGAGAAACCAAGGTTGGAATCCTCATGGCCATAAAGCTCACTGAGTGACCTTGCGCCACTTACTGTCTCTTAGTCTAGCAGGGTTGTTGCGAGGATAAGTGGGGAAGGAGAACTATGTACAGTGGTACCTTGGGATGTGAACGGGATCCTTTCTGGAGCCCTGTTCGCATCCCGAACGGAATGTAAGATGCAACAGCGCATCTGTGTTTGTGCAGGTCGCGTTTCACCGCTTCCGCGCATGCGCGTGCCGTTCTTTTAACCGTCTGTGCATGCATGAGCGGCGAAACCTGGAAGTAACACACTCCGTTACTCCCGGGTCGCCACGGCACGCAACCCCGTAAGCGCTCAGCCTGAAGCGTATTTATCCCGAGGTATGACTGTATGGGACGCGGGTGGCGCTGTGGGTAAAAGCCTCAGTGCCTAGGGCTTGCTGATCGAAAGGTCGGCGCTTCGAATCCCCGCGGCTGGGTGCGCTCCCGTTGCTCGGTCCCAGCGCCTGCCAACCTAGCAGTTCGAAAGCACCCCCAGGTGCAAGTAGATAAATAGTCCCGCTTACTAGCGGGAAGGTAAACGGCGTTTCCGTGTGCTGCGCTGGCTCGCCAGATGCAGCTTTGTCACGCTGGCCACGTGACCCGGAAGTGTCTCCGGACAGCGCTGGCCCCTGGCCTCTTAAGTGAGATGGGCGCACAACCCCAGAGTCTGTCAAGACTGGCCCGTACGGGCAGGGATACCTTTACCTTTACGACTGTATGCTCCCCAGAGCTCCTGGGAGGAAAGGTGGGGTATAAATGCAACAAAATAATAACTAAACGTCAGCTGCGCTGTAATTCTGAATGTCTATGGACATTCTATGGAACGCTGCAGGAGAAGACGCACAAAGCTAACTCGGAAGCTGCCGCGCACCGTGCGACTCTTCCTGTTCTGAATGCATGCTCTTGCTGCCACTTTCCTAAGCCTCCTCTAACCCCGCCCCGCGGATACCCGGATGTGGGTGCTTTTCCGCTGCCTGCCTGCGCTGGGCTGATTGCCTTTGCAAAGGCTGCCCCCAGCAGTGCACCTTCCTCCTCTCACCTGCCTTGGCAACTGGCCTCTTCGGCTGCAGCAGCCTCCCCTAACATAGACTGTGCCTGGTCAAGCGTTCTGACAAAGCGATGATTGGTGAAACATGCATCACACGGTAAAGAGCCAGGAGACTGCCAGTGATGGACAATAACTAATCTGGCGGCCGCTAGTAACATTAAAACTAGGTTTTTAGGTGTATTGGAGGGATTGGCATCGCTCTCCAATGAGAGAACAGCTAAGAGGGGTCAGGAAGCGTGTTCTGCTGAGTATTTGATATTAAAAAAAAGACAAAATTAGTTAACCACCTTGCATTCCCACCGCATATGCAGAAACGAGCCTCACTCCACACATTTTCTTCAGCAGTAAGGGGGGGCATGGACTTCATTGCTTGGTAAAGTCTCTCGAGAGTCTAGTGCAATCTCAAAACAATTTTGAGAGTGGGCTCCTGGATCCTGGTTGATACAGGCTTTAAGGAAAGCTTCGTCCAGAGACCATTCTAGAGTGTTTCATCAGTGGTTCTTTGTAGGTCCGCTTTACAAATCGTTGTGAAAAACAATTTAATGCGATGGGGGAAACCAGTTTTTTCCTACACTCCCACCCAGGCTTTCACATCTCTATGCATAAATATATATTTTATTTATTTCATAATATTTATACACTGCTTGATTCCTTTTTTCTTAAACCCCTCAAAGTGGCTTCTAATATGTGAATAAAATCGCAGCAAATCAACACGAGCGTCCGCCCCTCTGCCGGCCAGGGATCCTGCGCTGCAGCACCGACAAGCCTGGGCAAAGAGCGCAGGAAAACTGGAGCTCCCACCCCCTTCTCCTCCTCCTCCTCCCTCTAATTGGCCGATTAAGGGAGGACGGACCACCTCCTGTGAAATGCGATTGGCTCCTCCGCTTAACGACGTCACCGCGGATCTCCCGCTCAAAAGCACTTGTTCGCGGGCGAACTCTTGGGGCGTTGCAGAGGCGGCGCGTGCGCGCCGGAGCTCCTTTCGCGCCCGCCTTCCGTTTGCAGGGATGCTCGGGATTGGCCTACGGCGGAAGAGCGGCACGCGAGGGGCGGGGCCAAGCTCGGGTGGGCGGAGCATGGCGCGTGTGGGCGGGGGAGGTATAAAAGCGGCCGTCCGGGACCCGCCGGCGCCAAACTGCGTTCGCCTTCCTTTGCGTTCGCTGCTTTTACTGGGAGGGCGCGCGCTTTTCTTTGCCTCTCCGTCTTCTTCCGCCGGCGAGATGTTCGAGGCTCGGCTCATCCAGGGCTCCGTCCTGAAGAAGGTGCTGGAGGCCCTCAAGGACCTCATCACCGAGGCCTGCTGGGACCTGGGCTCGGGCGGCATCAGCCTGCAGAGCATGGACTCCTCGCACGTCTCCTGGTGCAGCTCACGCTCCGCTCCGAGGGCTTCGACACCTACCGCTGCGACCGGAACATCGCCATGGGGGTCAACCTCACCAGGTGAAGAGGGGCGGCCGGGGAAGAGAACCGCCGCGCCTGTCTGAGGGGCGGCCGGCCCTCCCTCCCTTTACGAGGACGATGGCGGCCGCGAAAAAGGCGGGAGTTTCCCTCACACAGGGGTTGGGGAGGCTTAGGCCGCTGCACTCCAGCCCCGCGCGCCAAATCCTCTCAGGCGGCGGCGTCGCCGGTCGCGTGACGTGTAATAGAAGCGTCCCGCCATTCTTGACATTGGCGGGAAAAGCGCGCGGGAGGGGGAGGGGTCTGCCTCTGTTAAAATGGGGGGAGCCGTTTGGCGCGCGCGCTGGATTCGCGGAGCGGATTGGCTGGTTCCGTTCTCAATTGTCTTTTTTGCTTTCCCTGATTGGTTGATGCGGCTCGTCGTGGGGTGTGGCTTGTTCCGCCCTCTAGTTAATACAGGCGGGAGTATCCTGCTGCTGCTCCTTGAAAAGGGATTTGGCGGGACCTCGTCGTCCTTTAATGGTCGCGAATGAGGCCACCTTCTCCCGCAATGAGGCTCGTGGCCCCTTAAAATTTGACTGGCGCTTTTGCACATACTTTTTTTCTCCTGCCCCTGAGTGGCACCGCCCCCCCCCATTGGCAGCACCTAAGCGGGCAAATACAGTGGTACCTCAGGTTACATACGCTTCAGGTTACAGACTCTGCTAACCCAGAAATAGTGCTTCAGGTTAAGAACTTTGCTTCAGAATGAGAACAGAAATCGTGCTGCGGTGGCAGCCGGAGGCCCCATTAGCTAAAGTGGTGCTTCAGGTTAAGAATAGTTTCAGGTTAAGAACGGACCTCCGGAACGAATTAAGTACTTAACCCAAGGTACCACTGTATTCAAGTAGGTTTGCATCTGCCTTGTTGGTGTTCCCTGTTTTACAATTTGGATGAAACAAAAATCTGGCACAAAAGGCGATTGCTATTGATTCAGATACATATAAAGTAACATATACATGCTGTTGACTGGGACGTCCTTGCCGGATATTCACACAAATCTGAAAATAAGCATCTCATAGTGGTGTGATGCTTCTTGCTTTTGTTTGGCGTGAGCAGTCATTCCCCTTCATTCCCCTTTGTAAGTTCTTAATATGCTTCCACTGGAAATGCTTTCTTAAGATGATAAGAATATGTACTTTTTTTTCTTTCTTTCCTAGTATGTCCAAAATACTGAAGTGCGCAGGTAATGATGATATCATCACCCTGAGAGCAGAAGACAGTGCAGACACACTGGTTTTGGTGTTTGAGACACCAAGTAAGTAACTGAAACTTCACGGGTGCAAAGTAGCTAAGTTTTGATCTGGAGGTTATATTTATTTAGGGCACTTGCCCAAATCAGACGGCTCTTGAGTTGACTTATTGCTCAGGCTAATGGTAAATTGTGATGTTTCTCTTTGCTTCTGAACACTTGCAGAGAGTGCCTCTGTCAGTTTGCAGCCATGCAAAGAGAGATGAGAGACATTAACAAAGCTGACTTGCAGGATTGCTTCCTTTCTTCCTGAGACAATGTAATAAGCTGCTAAGTGTCCCACAAAAAATGAAGCAGGCTCTTCACAGCCATCCCTGTCCCAGTGTCCATGCATGCAGAATGATCTCCCACAGAAACTTGTGCAAGTGTCTGCTGCAAATATGTTTTGTTTTAAACTTATAATTCTGGAGCTGGCCAAGAGGATGTAACTTCAGCTTCCTAGAAGCTCGTTAACTAACAAGGATGGCTACTTGATGATTATCTGAGCAAATCAGTTGCCTCTGCCATAAAATTCTTTGCCTACCTGAACTAACTAAGCCAGTTTAGAAATCACAGATGAAGTG